TGGTAGAGGTGGCTGTTCTATCTAAAGCACAGAAGCCAACACAGAGAGTAAAAGAAAATGAAGAAACAGAGGGATACGTTCCAAACAAAAGAACAAAATAAACAGAAACAGACCTAAATGAAACAGAGATAAGAGATTTACCAGATAAAGAATTCAAATAATGGTTATAAACAATATGAAAATTACTCAAAAAATTAAAAATAGAACTAACTACCATATCATACAACAATTCCACTTCCTGATATTTATTCAAAGGAAACAAAATCACTATTTTGAAAAGATCTCTGTACCTCCATGTTTATTACAGCATTATTTACAATAGCCAAGAGATGGAAGCCACCTAAGTGTCTATCAACAGATGAATAAAGAAAATATGAACTAACTACTCTGCCATAGAAAAGAAGGAAATTCTATAATTTGTGACTTCATGGATAAACCTTGAGGCCATTATGTCAAATGAAATAAGTCAGAGAAAGACCAATACTAAATTATCTCACTTATAAGGGGAATCTTAAAAAAACTGAACTCATAGAAACAGAGAACAGATTGATGATTACCAGAGGCAGGGCTGATGGGGTGGAAGAAATGGGTGAAGGTGGTCAAAAGGTACAAACTTCCAATTATAAGATAAACAAGTACTAGGGATGAAATGTACATGATGACTGTAGCTAACACTGATACAGCATATATAATAATAAGTTCTGGGGATATAACACACAGTTTGGTAACTAAATTAGCAATACCGTATTGCATATTTGAAAGTTGCTACAAGAGTCATCTTAAAAGTTCTAATCACAGGGCACCTGGGTGGCTCAGTTGGTTAAGCGACTGCCTTCGGCTCAGGTCATGATCCTGGAGTCCCGGGATCTAGTCCCACATCGGGCTCCCTGCTCAGCGGGGGGTCTGCTTCCCCCTCTGCCCTCTTCCCTCTCGTGCTCTCTGTCTCTCATTCTCTCTCTCTCAAATAAATAAATAAAATCTTTAAAAAAAAAAGTTCTAATCACAGAAAAAGAAATTTGTACCTATGTGAGCTGATGGATATTTACTAAATTTATTGTGGTAATCATTTTTCAATATACACATATGTCAAATCATCATGTTGTACACCTGAAACTAATACAATGTTGGATGTCAATTATATCACAATAAAACTGGAGAAAAAAGAAAAGTTAATAAAATTGTTCAGAATAGTATATAAAGTAAAAATAAATAAAATTAAGAACTCAACTTTAAGAGAAGAGCAAAAGAAAAAATGATGGCAGGACAGATGAAAAAGGAATGATCAGAAATTTAAAAGAAAACTAGGAGAGAGTGATGTCATAGAAGTCAGAATGGGGAGTAGTTTAAGAAAAGAGGGATAAATAAAATGCAGAGAGAGCCTAACCATTGTATTTACCATTTTAAAAAATTGAGGTTTTCAAGGTAGGTGTAAAGGCAAAATTTATTGCAATGAATTATCGAAGTGGAGAAAGAAATGTAAAGGATTCTTTCAGTTTATCTGCTAAAGGAGAGAATGTAGTGTTTAGAAAAGGATATGGAGCTATTTGTTTTTGAGATAAAAAATAAGCTTAGACTGTGGAGGACCAACTAAGGTAGGAAATCATAAACCAAACAAAAATATAAGTGGCTGAGTTGACACAAGTTTCATATTTGTAAGGCAGAGGCAGCAGAGATATACGTTCCCTCCTCTCTCTACCTTTTAACTCTCAAACCACTCTACATTGCTGCCAGATTTATCCTAAAATTTTCACAATTTCCCTACTCAAAAATTTTCAGTGGCTACCCATTGCCTATAACAGTAAATCCAAATTCCATAGCCTACCACTCAGGATTTTTGTCATCTGGCCATGCCTAGCATTTGCAGCCATTTCTCACCACTCCCTTCATGCATCCTACATGCAAGTCATACTTCATTACCTTTTACTCCCCGAGCACTTCTCACACTGTACTCTTACACATACTGCTTATTATTCTTCAAGGGCCAACAAGAATGCTTCCTCTACAATGGCATCTTTTATAGAAGCCCACGTTTGAGTCTCTGTCTCCTCAGATTCCCTGTATGTATTACCTATGAAATTTATTATAATCTACATATAAAATAGTAATTTCTGCATTTCTTCTCCTTCTAATGAGAGAAAGAGAGCACTTTATTAATTTTTTACAATCCATAGTTTCTAACAGAGTGCCAAGCACATACTATAGATTTAATAATGGCTGTTAACTGCTTAGAGAATTTGAAAACTTAAGGTAAGCACAATTATAACATGAATTCTTAAAATTAAGAAAGATGCTATTTCATACTCAACCAACAATCAAGAAGGTAGTCTCAGGCTAGCAATGTGTATTGAAATGACACATGGTATTTCCTATAAAATATCTTGCACACTACAAATTAAAGACAATGATTTAAAGTAATAAAGATTTTTTAATAAAGGGATTAAAAAATCTTAGGGAATTGCTCTTCAAGTCATGACTCAATAATTAATTTTGTAAAATGAAATTTAGAATATTTTTCCAAGGTCATAAATGTACATCTTCTTTACTTAAATTTCATGGTAAATATTTACCCAATAAGGAAATAAATTCACATCATAATTTATGCCAGCTTCTTAAGAAATCAATAAACATAAGGCAATTTTCTATATTTTTTGAACAATTATGATTGTTATAGCTTCAACTAATATTTGTTGAGTGTTTACTCTTTGCCAAGCCTACTATTAGACACATTCACAAATAATATTTAATATTCAGCACAATCCTGCAAGATAACTGTATCAGTATCCCCATTCTGCAGATTACGATGTTTGCTCAGAACAACTTCTGGGTTGCCAAGTCCTACACAGTTAAGATCTAGTGGAGTAAAGAGTCTCCATGCCCATTGAGCTTGCCAATAACAATAGCCCTGAAACTCTAGAAGATTTTGGTCATCAAAATAAGATTCATCATGATTCATTTTATTTACTCTGGCTACAAGCTGTACCCATGAAGTGTAGAAAGACAGACAACAAAAGTTGAAACAAAACAGTCCAATGTTTAAGAAGCCTAATTTTTAACTATCCAGAAAATTTAGTAGGCCAATACACCTTCCCTAGCATTCTATTTAATTAACATTTTAATGCATATATGGCAATTTAGCCTAAGACAGCAAAGTATTATTTATTAAAGGGCCTAGGGGAATTATTTTAATAGATAAAGATTGCTTATCCAGATCATCAGCCCTGTTTATATACAATGTATGCTTTAAATTATTTGAGGTCATTTGAAAGGGGCTTTGAAGAATTCTAAGCAACCTCTGCCCCTCTAATTTTTATAATTCACATTGTTTTCATAGCCACTCCAAAAAGGTTTTGCTAAACAAAATAGACCTTCATTCCTGCCATGTCCAAATAATCATCAGTTTCAATTAATGAGCTACTGCCTTACTTGTTATAACTGCTGCACATTCGACATAATACTTTTAAATATGGCATGCATTTTACTCAAGTGCATTTCAGACACATATCTTTATTTTGCAGATAATTCAAAGCAACCTGATAATCACTGAATAAGATTTATCATATTTCACATTTGATGGAGATTTAATACATTACCTCTACATTGTATTACGTGTGAATTTTATTAAACTAGAAAGTACATAATTGTTTCTCCCTTTGAGTGACACTACTGGGGGAAAATTCTACATGTAAAGATCTTTCACAAAAACTTACGTTCTTCAGGTATGGTATTAGACATGAGTTGATTAAAATCCTGATAGCTTATGGCAGCATATACTGCTTGCATTCATAAATACAACCTGAAACCCGTCTTTTACTGCAATCTCTTAAGAAGTACAGCTTTTTTTTTAACCTCCTCTTTGTGATTTGTAAACATGGGGGCTAAATCTTATTGAGAGAAGTACTTGATGGGGGGCTGCTCTCCATGGTCTCCCATGTCTCTGCAAGTTTCTGAGCAGAGGCACCAACACTTTCTTCAGAACTAGCTGTTGAAAGATGTTTGCATAACGAGAGATAGTATCTCCTTCCATAGGAAAGAGCAGGTTTACTGTGCATGATAAAAGATTGGGTTTCCTTAAGCTTGAGGTCCTTCTCTGGTAACTCAATCCGCTGCATGTGCATGTGTCAATTGGCCCTCTTCACATCAAGCTTTAGGAACTGAGGCTGGGAGAAATGGCACCAAAATGCTGATGCTCTTTCAGTTGCTATTTTTGTGAGTAACAAGTTATTTTCCCTGAACCAGAAACATGCCTCTGCCATCATCCATGAAATTATATCAGGCTAATTGGTTAGCTTGCAAGTAGATAACACAAGCTTCACAGTTTGCAATAATGGTAACATTTCAACATAGGTTGTTATCTGGGTAGTCTATTTCAAAAAACACTATCAGCTTCAGGATTTCTATCTTCCTAACTATCTAGATTGGCTAATCTAGTATTCTTGCCTGATTCGCCAAGAAATTTGCCATCTTCCTAAGGCAAACTCAGCTGAATGCTTGACTTCTTCTCTTGTACTTACCATCTTTCCCTCTGTCCTCTAGTGAAAGAATTGAGTCAGGTTCCCTCCCTAGTGGTTCTTCTTCAAACAAAAAGAATTTGGGGCATGATTTTCTACTTTGATGTGAGTTAAATGCCATTTTTCTCAATATTACTTATTCCTTCTATAAATTATTAAGATCTAATCCATTTACCATTTCATCATTTATATGATTTTGATCTAATCATATGAGCAATCCTAATCTGTGAACATTCCTATATTCAGCTTATAGTACTAAATTAATAATCTGGTATTATTTCAAATTTTATTAATAGTTCATTTTACCACCTACCTAAATTCTCTCCTTCTTGATTATAAACATATTTAGCATAATTAATTGCTTTAATTCTTAAGAGACTGATTTTTCATATGTATTTTCTGCAGAAAGCATCCAAGTAGCTATTGACATTTCCCAATATTGAATCAAGCCCTTCCTAGGATGGGGTAGACAAGGAGCGGATATCATCTCACCTTGAAAACAGATTTCACATGAATATAATTGCACGGAATATCTAATTTTTCAAGTAATCTGTAAGTTTTTTCTACGTTAATTTTTCCACCTTTAAATTCATCCCGAATCTTTGACAAAAACCATGTACGAAGCACAAAAAAAGAAGTTAAGGAAATTCTCACAGAAAATCATTAAGTACTTAAAATGCCTAAAGAAGTATTTTATTTCTATTCAGTTTAATGCTTTTATTTTTATTTTTAAGGGATAGTCTATTTTGTGCTCAAGGGACAAGATAATTCTATAATAAATATTTAAAACAAAACTAGGTAGGTACTATTCTGTAGTAAAGGTATGAAAGGGCATATATAACACAATAAAAAGTACAGGTAAAGAATAAAAATAAACATTTGAGAAATCAAGTTATTATTGGGGAAATATAGTCTGTTTCTTGAAGACATGGACTTGGGGAACAGCTGGGCTTCAAGATCTCCCTGTCACTTGACCTGTTGCTCAGCTTCACTTCCCTTGTCTGAAAAGTGAGCAAATTAATACTTAGGAAGGTGGGGGCATTAAATGAGTTCTTAACATATTATTGAACACAGTTTCTGTTACTGAGTGTTTAATACATAGTTATCATGCCTGATATTAGTTAACATTAGTTAACTGTCCAGCTACACACACACACACAAACACATACACACAAACACACACACGCAAAAAAAAAAAAAGCAACACTTTTAAGTACCATCAAAAAGAGTTAAAAATGCCACGCTGAGTGTGTATATTTGGTATGAATGAAGAAACTAAAACAACTTTACTTATCATATACAAATAAACTACAAAAATTAGGACACTTCAATTTGAAAAACTAAGGTTGAGAATTAATATGACATTTATAAAATCATGAAACGTTCAAAAATCCACTCAATTTCAGATTGTTAAAGCTAATGAAAGCCCTTAAATGTAATGGCTATGACTTAATATGGCAAAACTCATGTTCTTATAAGAAAAAGACAGGAAGCTAGGGAAATTCAGAAAAGCTTAGGATGGATGGAAGGAAGCAGTTTATACTTAAATGAGAGAGGCTTAACTTCATGACCCTTCAAAAAGAATGAGAGGAGAATCAAGTAAAGGGGATAAATCAAGAGAAAGAAGAGAAAAGAGGAAGAGAAAGGACTTCTGAGTGGATATTTGTTCTCCATATTTTCATGACCTCTTGTTCCGTTTCTCCTCGCTTAGAAGTCTCTCCCCATTACGTGTTGTCACAGGTTCCACATATAGTTAACTCTGCCCTTTTGCAGTAAAGGAATTTCTTGATATTCATCAGCCTCTGCCCCTTTTCTAGGGAGAAAGCAGAAAACACAGAGTGGTTTGTGCCCTTGTTTTTTGGAGATAGCTTAAATCCCACAGAAACCATATGCAAGGTGTGCACCCTGCACTTCACTGCCCTTGAAAATTTCTGTCTTCTTGTTATGTTTTGATATCTTCAAACCCTCAATGTTTATAAATGCAGCATCCTCTGCTCTTTGGCATTTTTCTATCAACTGCCTTCCTATCTTGCTTTTATTTTTACTATTTTGTTGACCCCCCTGAAACTTCTCAGCATAATGTGCTTCCAGTGGGTTTGGGGTAACTATTCTGAGGGACTGAGGATTAAGCAATGCCACTGTGGTCCCCGAAGGTGCAAAGGGCTGCCAAACACTCTCTAGAAACTCTGGGCTCTCTAGAAACACTTCTCTAGATCCCTGGCAACATAGAGATCCCTGGCAAGACCGAGACACACCACTTTTGAAGAAGGCTGTTCAGGAGGTTAAGTTCTTAAAATCTTCAAAATATGTACAGCTGGTTGGCTGGGTCCCACGCTGTCAGGTGACTGTCATGTTTTTCTTTGGGTCTGAACACCCATTGTGATATCATCAACAGTTCCGCACTTCATAGAGAAAGCTTCTTTATGACTTCATCAGGAGACTCAGAGCTTGCCAAACAACCTGTTTTCATGGTTAGACATAGTAATCTTAAGCTTGAATGTTTAACACCTTGATGGGAAAGGTGTATCATGGAATGTTTTCTCATCCTTTGAACACTCTTTATTTCAGAAGCTTTGCTTCTGCTGCAACCAAACATGTCACTTAGCGTTCTGAGTAGGAAAGAGAAAGAAAGAGTAATTCGCAGACTGTTAATACAGGCTCCTCCAGGGGAATTTGTTAATGCCTTTGATGATCTCTGTCTGCTTATCCGTGATGAAAAACTTATGCACCATCAAGGTGAGTGTGCAGGCCACCAACACTGCCAAAAATATTCTGTGCCACTCTGCATCGATGGAAATCCAGTACTCCTGTCTCACCACAATGTAGTGGGTGACTACCGATTTTTTGACTATCAAAGCAAACTTTCTTTCAAATTCGACCTGCTTCAAAACCAGTTAAAAGACATCCAAAGTCATGGAATCATTCGGAATGAGACAGAATACCTAAGAAATGTTGTTCTGTGTGCCTTAAAACTGTATGTGAATGATCACTATCCAACAGGAAATTGCAACGTGCTGAGAAAAAGTGTGAAAAATAAGGAGTTCTTGATTGCTTGCATTGAGGATCACAGCTATGAAACAAGAGATTGCTGGAATGGCCTTTGGAAATCAAAGTGGATTTTCCAAATAAATCCATTTCTAACCCAAGTAACAGGAAGAATTTTTGTGCAAGCTCACTTCTTCAGGGCTGTCAACCTTCATATTGAAATCTCCAAGGATCTGAAAGAAAGCTTGGAAGTAGTTAACCAAGCTCAACTGGCTTTAAATTTTGCAAGGCTTGTGGAGGAGCAAGAGAATATATTTCAAGCTGCAGTCTTAGAAGAACTACAGGAGTTATCCAACGAAGCCCTGAGAAAAATTCTACGAAGAGATCTTCCAGTGACCCGCACTCTTATTGACTGGCAAAGGATACTCTCTGACTTGAATCTGGTGATGTATCCTAAATTAGGATATGTCATTTATTCAAGAAGTGTGTTATGCAACTGGATAATATAAAGGATTGCTCCTGGTAATGGTCTCCACCTGATTTCTTTGTGTTTCTGGGAGTGGTGTTGGTATTTTCCTAAAGTTGAGAAGCTACTAGAGATGCTTATCAGTTGACAAGTGCAAGTTTAAGTTAGGGAAAAGTATAACAAATAATTTGACTCAGGGAATATTAACCAATAAGGCAAGAAGAACCTAAAACAGTTCCATAGAATGTAGCACCCAGAAGTATTATAAAGGTGGCCAGGGTTAAGGCTCTGTGTGTGTGTGTGTGTGTGTGTGTGTGTAGGAATGACCTTTGACTTTCTTTGTAACTAGAGAAGGTATGCAAATGAAAGTCACTCTGCAAGTGATACTTTACATAACTCAATTCAGTCCTACACCAACCCGAGAGAGGGGATTTCAGTAAGTAACATTAGTGTTAAATATTCCATGAAACCAACAAATACCAAAACCTACCTCAGATGAAGAACTATTAGTAAACATGGATCCACTGCCCCCGTAGCTGCCCCTGCCCTCCAAGAAGTGGGATTACTCAAATCCCTGGGCTTTTCTGATAGCTAACATGGTCTTTAAATAGTCAACTTGAAAAGCCTGACCTCTCAAGCTTATAGAGTCAAACTCTTGTGAAGTCATCACTATAAGCATTTATAAGTGCTTATTTCATGCCAGACCCTGTGCTAAATGATTTGCACACAATTTTTCATGATTGGGCTGGCGCTGGTAGTAACTCCATTTTATGTGAGAAGAATCTAAGATTTCAAGTTTTCTAATTCGTCCAGGCACAGAGTAAGTGACAAGGGTGTCTGACTCTGCTTTTAACCTCTAGAGGATGACCACTCTCCATAGAGGCTTGCTTCATTAAGAGTTGTGAGTTCTACAATGATTTAGGCAAGCACTTCACATAAAGGACACTTCCATAGGAACTGGAACTGGTGACCTGCTGTGTTTTAGCCAAGACAAATTACCTATTCAGTCACCCTATCACTATTCTCAGCAAGGTTACTGACCACTTGCCTCTGGTCTCAAAGAAGCCAAAATCTAAAGCTCTCCAATAAGATTGCAGAAGTGCAGTAGAAAGGCCCCATCCCCTGATTCTGACTGGCAAAATACTCCTACTTAAGAAACACTGGAGCAGACAAGATTAGAATTCCTAAAAGACCTTTCTACCTTAACTGGTGGTTCTTAGAGAATCTCAGGAGAATTACCTAGAGTGTATCTCTAAAAATACAACTTCCTAGTACCCATCCTCAGATTCTGATTTAGTAGGTTAGGAAATCTACATTTTAAACAATTACCAGAGATGACTCTGTTGCAAGGGATCCCAGGACCACATTTTAAGAAATATGGGTCCATCATAAAGTGACACATTTTATGCTTTCTATTTACTTAATTAAAATCACTTCTTATAAAACTATTGCCAGATGAAGGTCATGTCTTACTACTTCACTGGATTCACTACACACAGATCAAGGACATGCCTTCATCTGTTATGTTCAAAAGTTAAGGGAAACCTTTCTAAAGAAAAATAGCAAGGACAGTTGCTCTCATTGTACTGAAATATAAAATTTGAATTGATATTATGGTTATATATGTAGGTGATGATTTGCCAGAATGTTCCCAAATAGGACTCAATGGTTTATGGAACAATCACAGAAGCATTTAGCTCCCACTGAAACATGGGGTTTTTAAAATAATATTTATTGGTATGTCTGGATATAAAAAGTCACATGTACAAATCATAGAAAATGCTTGAGGTATAAAGCATTTTGGCATCTTTCTTGATTCAATTTTATGGAATTGTTTTAAATATTAAGAATTTACAACATATATAAATTTTTATCCTATTCTTTTTACATAACTCCTATATCATAAATATGGCCCCATGTCATTAAAATTCCTTGAGCACATAATTTTAATTATTTACATGATATTCATACTGTTCATGTACCATAACAAGACAACTATTTCTCTATTCATACATAATTTAATTTTTAGCATTTTATTTCTGTTATTAATTGGGCTATAGTGAATATTTCTATGCAAAAAGCTTTGCCCACATTGTGGATTATTTCCCTTAAGATAAATTCCCTAAAATTGCATATTGAAAAGATATGAACATATTAATGATTTTAATAC